AATATTTGGAAGTAGGTAATTTTGGTGTTTGGTAGTTATAGTACACAGAAGAGCAGTTCTGAAGCACTTGTGATGTAGAAAGCAGTAGCATCTATTGGCAAGTCACTGCACATTGGAAAGCATTCAGACAAAGCATGGGACCTTTTATTGGATCATCAGTGTCGGTTAGATTGGCTACTGGGAAAAGAGTTTTTTGTAGGAAACAATAGTTCATACATAGTTTATTACCGTCTCTTCAAAGGCACTTGTGAATGCTTCTCCGTTTACGGGAATTGTTAATTGCTTAATGAGAGAGAGAAGATTTAATATATCCCAGGAAACAATTTGTTGGGATAATTTGTTGGGGAGTCTCTTCCAGTGGAAGTCATACTTAAATTTATAGGCTGTGTTAAATCACCACTTTGCAGAATATATTAAAAACCTAAAATCTCTTTTGTTGCATGCAAAATGACAGCACTGTCTGTGAAGCTGTCTGAGTACCCGCCTGAGTGAGGACAGCAGGGCTGGCCCTAAATCATCAAGTTGTCAGAATGGTTATTTGCAGAACTGTGATGTTAGTTACTCCTATGAACAGCTGGAAAGAAAAAAAAAAAAAAAAAAAAAAGCCTAGATTCCCACAGTATATAGCTAATGGCTACAGTACTTGCAGTTTCTAAGGGACATGGAAATACTGGTTTTCTAAGGTGCTACAATGAGACAGTTGGAATGTAGTAATAAAAAGAATCTACAATATAATTAGATTATTTCTTTTCTAATCAAGCTGCGTTAGATGCACATTTTCAAAGCCCTTGCCTTTGGGACTTAAAACAAAATAATAAATATCCAGAATGCTGTGTTAGCTAATTTTCTCAGTGACCAGAAATCACACACATTACATTCTTCCAAGACCTTGCAAAAATCTGTGTGCAGACCCTCCCTCCACCATACTCATACCCACATACTGGAAGTTTTTCAGTCACCTTAAAGCAGACTTTGTCTCTTATGTGCTTTGTATCCATTGTGCACCTAACACTTAGCTCCCTCAGCACCTGTGTGTGGCACAGCCTTTGTCAGGCAGGAGATATGGCTGGATGATCTGAGAATCCTCCTACTATTAAAGACTGAATCATTTTGTGTGTTGTGGTGTATGAAGCTGTCATTCCATGTTTTTCTGCAAGATGTTGCAATTCAGAGGACAAATTTGTTACCAGTGTGTCTTGGACCCTTTGTCAGCAAATCTCTCCTCTCTTTCTCTCTCTGATCTCTAGGTAGGAGGAGTGAGTGTCTACAGCCATGACTGTACATGATTCTCCCTTTCTGTTCTGTAGCAACTCTTTCAGGCCAAACTGGGTGCAAAAGGAACATTCTCTTTTTGGGGTAGAATCACTGGAACAACTGAATGTCTGAAAAGTTTTAAATGAAAACATGAAGCAAAGTTCAGTCCCTGTCGCCTTTTAATGTCTGATGGATAAAGAGATGATGGAAAATATTTTGACCCCAGTAGAGTCAGTGTCACTGTGTGCTGTCACTCATCACTGGAACTTATATAGAAGATGTAAATGAACTCTAGCCACCTGTGAAGTACAAAGAATTTTCTACCAACAAGCTGATGGATGTCATCTCTGCTCCAGTAGAACCAAATTTCGTTTTCTGTAAACCTCTTGTTTTCTATATAAGTATGTGAACTGAATGTTGGAGAACCATGTACCAGGACCAGAGGTATTAGAATTGTTACTGTACAGAACTACAGAAACCCCACCTTCACACCTCTTTTATTTTTGCAAATCTAAAATATGTGCTCAAGGGTAGTAGCTTTGAAAGAATTCAGCTCTTGGAAAAACATTCATTTAGCAATAATAATAAAGATATTGTTGCTTCGTGGACAAAAATAAATTGTATTCCTTACAACAAATGCAGTTGAAAGCAGTTGTTATGGTAACTACTGCAGTATCTTTATCAGTATTTCTACTGTACTCTTTGGGAGGGGTAAAAATCTCTTACTCAACTGCATGTGGCAGCTAGAATGGGGAACTGGGACACTTCCATTGCCCAGTAGAATGATGTGGATTCTGGTAATGTGTTTTAAGTTAATCTCCTCCTTCCCTAGGGGCTGGAGAGAATCTTATGACTCAGGGATGCCAAGAATTGGCAAATTTTGGTTCAGTTCCATTTCAGATATACATAATGGCAATCCTAGAAAAACTACTGATTTCTTTTGCATTTCATTCTTTCACACAAAATCAGGGCAGTACTTCACAAGAGAATGTGGTGCTAAAATGACAAGCAGTGCATGGGTAACAGTGTAGTTAGTGTAGTAATAGTGTACCAGATAGCCAGAGGTCTTATTCCAACTAGTTCCTCAATGTTACTTGTGCCTTTTTTAACTATAAGGATAAGAAGAAACAGTCACAGTTGACAGATGCCCTGTATAACTTGCCCTGACTATATATAGGTAAAGTAAATAGGCAGGTAAAGTAAAGTAAATGTCAGGGATTGAAGTCTAGAAGATGTAACAGTTATGATGTTGCATTGTGATTAAATTACCCATGTACCAAAGCATCAATGCTTTGGTAATAAGGACAACATAAATCTGAAATAAACAGTCTGGTTCTGGATAAGATGTTATAGCCATGAATGCAGTTATGCTTCCTCATTTGTAAGTGTGAGCCTTACCCGTTGTTTGTAAGAGTGATGTTTTGGAGATACCTTTCTATGTTTGGCAGTATTCTATAGTACAGGAGGAGGGGAAGATGGAAGACTGTCCTCAAAGAATAGGCAGCTGTTGTGAAAAGGCTTTCGTCTTTTCTGGGAAACTGCTTCTACTGGCATATGACTCCCTTGTGGTTTAGCTTGATTTAGTTCTGGCTGGAACGGCAATTCAGCACCTGGCAACTGGATTAAGGGTGGGAGGTTGTTCTGTTGTCAGTGATGTGCAAAGGACAGCAAGGGCTGCCTGTAAGTGCAGACACACTGTGCACAGATAGACATAGGATCAGAACAATATTTCCAAATCCCTCAGTACTGTACCCAGAAGGCCTGGCTGAAAGTACGTAGATGTTTTCTCATGCCAGGGGTACTCACAGTGACGCGTCAGTTTGAAATTCTGTGTGTTTGTGCTGAGGCAGAACATAGAAGGTGTGTTACAAATTATGTGAGCTTCAAAAGCAAGGTTTCAGCAGTCAGGCAAGTGATGCTTGTGTGGAGTTTTTTGGTGTGTGACAATATCCGAGTATGTAAGGAACATGAGAAATGTCTAAATGGCTGGCTACATTGGATTTGCCTTGTAGCATTTTGATGTTAAGCTGCAGGAGATGGATAACACTGGAACAGCGCAGCTAGGCATGCTTTGTATCTCCATTTTAGTTACCATAATGTTAATAGTATATTCACTAAACCTGTAGGTAACATCACAGCCTCTTTCCAGATTACTGTAGAATTATTTATAGATAAATTTTTCAGACTTTTAAGAGGGTCTGTGGTTTCTTTCACTATAGTTCTGTGCCAATACCTTAGACATTGCCTTTCTCTGGTAAGGGACGTTACTCCCCTCACTTCCAATGTAGCATATAAGCTTTGTTTGTCAGGACAGTTCAGGGACTGTGTGCTAGTCGTCTGTCCTCATTGCTGTCAGAATGGCCTTCAGATTTCACAGCCAAAAAGCAAGCTGCTGCAATGGAGGCTCTTTTTCAAATGAGGTGTAATTCTGCACTTGGAAGCCCCCGTCCTTCTCTCTCCTGGCCTTAAAGGATAAGGGAATGGTGCTCCCATTGGATGAAAAAATATGATAGCACAGCAGGAGTACTGCTTCCTCAGGCTTGTATGTATAGCTTGTTCGTTAGCGTCACCAGATAAATGCAGTCTGTTCTTTTCATGATTGATGAGTGTAACTAAGCAAATTGAGGGCAGTCAGTAAATGCTTTGTTTAATTTGTTTTAGTATCATTTTGGTTACTTGCTACTCCAGGGGCAGCTCCCAGCAACCCAGTTTTATAGTCAGAAGAGCACAAGGACTTCTGTTACAGGGTAGAGTTCACCTTCTTATCATTCTTGCCAGTTGCAATGTAGCAAGAAATGCTATGTTTAAGGTCTTGATAAAGGATGTAGAAAGCTGAGCTATGCATTTTATGCATCTTCTTTCTCTTTCATTTTTGTATTTTTTTTCTTCCTTTTTGTCTGTTTTGGCAGTACAGTGCAGTGTTTTTTTCTGTTGGACATTTATCATGTAATTTTTTTTTTCCACCACGGATTTGAAATCTTAAATGGATTTGAGAAAAAGTGTTTAGTGCCTGAGGAACACTGTAAATGAATCCTGAACTTATAACAAACATGGATTCAAAGTTGTCTAAACATTCCTATCAAGAGAAGGAAAAGTGAGGAAAAAAATAACACAGCACATTCAACTTAACTCTACTGGAAATTTTCTAAGGATTGCACTTGGGAGTATTTTGCTGGCAGTAACTGAAGAAAACTTACTAGATAGATATAAGTCATTGATAATATCCAAAAGAACTAAGTAGCCGGTAAGGTTATTACTTGTCTTACAACTGAATTGGGAGAACAACATTTGGGATGTACTTTGAATGAAAATCGCGAATGCATTGTTTTAAAAGCCTTGATATTAACTGATTGTACACCCATGATCTACACAAGAGCAAAGGGTAGCAGATGGCAGCAAGTACCTTAGGGTAAATAAAGAAGGACTGTAATAAACTAAAGAACTGTATAAGGATGGATGCAACTAGTTATGAAAACTTCATTTTCTATATTCTAAATCTGCCTATATAATAAAACTGTGGCTGCCTTGAAAATAAAGACCTCATTAAGTAAGTAAAGAAAAGCAGCTGTAAATATGCATATAAAGTTAACATATATGTTGAGATTTTTATTTTCAAATTGAATGATTTGGGTAATTTTAGATTAATTTGTGTTTACTTGGATTTGTGATCTTAGTTGTGATACTATTATAAATAAATTTATTTTTCTCCCCAAATCTTTGCCCTTACTTCTTAAGTGATTTGGGTTCCTAGAACTTGTTTTCTTTTTTTCATCCTCCTGCCAATTTAGCAATGCTTTTTTAATTCCTTATTTCTGTTTATTCCTCAAGACTCCTACGGTGAGTATTTTAGTAACAGTTAGCTGAGGTTAGTCACATCAGTCTTGGTAACCAGATCTGTCTATGTGCTGCTCCCAGGGAAGTGTGATACTGCTGTTTATGGAGTGTTGGGAGGTCCTCTCCAGGCACCTGAGGAGAATCAGGTAAAAACTGTTGCCTGTTCAAATGCGCTTAATGAGTAATTTAAGAATACTTTGCAAGCAATGTTTGTATTACCTCTTTGGATAGTCCTTCAAGTCCATTCAACCTTCCAGTTGTGAAATGGTTATTTGCCTGCAATCTTGTGTTTGCTTGTTCGGCTTCAAGGTTTGACTTGGACTACTGCTTTTCTCTATTTTTTGTTTCGGTTTGCTTGTTTACTTTTACAGTTGTCGAGTTTATTTTACACTATTTTTGTGGGGGTTATTGCTCTAACAATAGAGCACCTGGGGAAGTGGGGAAGGTGCTGTATAAACCTGTGAAGAATACCACTCTTCTTTTCACAGGCAACTGCTGGCATATTATTCCAGAGGGATTTCTGCTCATTTTTTAAAAGCAAAGGTAATACCAGTGCTATTTCAGGGTTGAACACTGGACACCTGTAAGGTGCAACGGGAGAAAAGAGATAGGGACAGCATCTGCTTTATGATGGATTGTAGTTGTAGCATCAGGTGTTCAGCCTTTGACTGGAGGTAGGAGGAAAGGAAGGAAAATGTACAAGTTGCAGAGGTTCAACAGCTATATGAATATCAGCACGTGCCTGATAAAACATAACATTAAAAAATAAAACATAAAAACATAAACTAGACTTAGCAAGTATAATCTGGCTGATCAACTTTTTCTTCGTCTTCTTTTCCATATTTTTTGCACCTCCATTCCAACTGGGTAACTGCCCCTCTCCTAGAGCAAATGTTAAAACAATATTTACCATTGTGCTTTGCTCTTTCAGCTTCAAGCTCCAAGGAATATTTGTGATAGCAGAGAAAAAATAACCTTGTTTGTTCTCTGACTTCCAAGTCTTATATTCTGTTTCTCCATAGAAGAGAAAACTAGATCACTTCAAAGATGCATCCATCATGTTAAGACCACTTCTTACAAAGATGATAAAACATTGACTCTGACACCGTAGTCTCTCTTTTGCCATATGCTGTAAGATACTCAAACTTTTCTGTTAGATCAAAGAACTAAAGAGAGAGCTGGTAACATAAACTAATTTCGGAGTGATACGCAAAATTTTTAGCAAATTAACAATCATGAAAAATAACCAGTTTCTTGAAGGTTTTGGAAGGCAGAAGTGAGCTCTGGACTGCAAACAAACCCCCTTGTTATCCCATGGTAACATCTCCCCTAATGAAAAGGAGAAAAGCTATGGCAATGGGAGTAGGGAACCCTTTCCATCAGCTTTGTTGAATACTAAATAGACAAAACAGTAATACAAAATAGATCAAAACAGTAGGATGGCCTGCTTGCCTAGGCACAATATACACAGATTGGAAAAAGGGAGAATGTGAAGTCAAAGTAATTTGATATAATTTGGACTTTACTTTTTTAGAATAGGGAAGTAAGAGTGATGAGAAAAGATAACTGCTGGGAATTTGAAATGATTTACTGATACTGTTTTTGTAGTATGTTGTTTTTTTTTTCCCTTCCCTGTGTGATCTCTATAGCAAAGCATATGAATACAGTATCATGTAGAGGAAAGTAAAAATTCAGGTGATTCATTTTGCTAGCATGATGATTATCTTTCTTTCTTGATCTCTTAATTAAAACAAGCTGGTTCCAAGTGGCTGCTGAATCTGACTAGGTATGTTCAGCATAAATACTTCTAGCACAAGATCTTTTTTGGCAAGTTGCTGCCCATAGGAAATCTTGTATTTGCAATGCTTGATTAATACTTTTCAGCTATTTAGAAAGGCACTTTCAGCATCCAGTTTGGGTGGTAAGATAACATAGGTTTACAGTGCATGTGGGAGTTCTGAGCGCTACTTAAACGAGTGCATGAACAGGCATGAACAGGTGAGGTTGTGTATCAGTTGTACTTGTGGAGTGTTTTGGGGATCCAGACTGATTCCTCATAGCATGTAATTAATGCTATTCTTCAAAGTCAATGTGTGTATGCTGACTTAGACTAGGTGAGAACTGATGTCTGTTAGTAGCAGGCACTGGCATGCAAGTTTGCACATTATTCCAGTATTTTCATGGAAGCATTTGGCTCTGGATTTGAGTAAGAACTGCACACACTGATCTTCAGACTCGGGGAAGCAGCAGGAGCTTTCAACTGTGGTTTGTCACTGGTTATTCAAGATGATTAGGAGACGTATTTGGAACTATTTTTAGTATCTCCTCTTTGTGAGCATTTCCATAGAATTCAGAGTTTAAGTCTTACATTTCACTCTACAGCTGAACAGTGTCTAGGAGAATATAGGAAATGATATATTAATGGTAAATAGCAAAAATATGATACACAGAGAACCGTTAATAACACTGAAGATAAAAATATAATTTTTGGTGGTTTGTTTTGAATTGAAATAAGCACTATTTTCTCAATGTCATTTGACATTGCAAAACATTCACAGCTGGTATGAGAATCACTGTCATATATGAAAACAGGCGATCTATCTGTTTAAGAAAACAAACAGGTCTTCTTGAGGTTAATTGTTAGCATGGCAGCTCTGGAGGAAGCATTGACGATACAGGAAAATAAGACACTGAGACTTTGACTGTAACAATGCGAGAAGTTTAGGGAAGTTTTAGGGAACTACATTAGACAAAATTACAGGCTGAAGCTTACTGTATTGTTTGTGTGTGCTGACAAGAGTTTTCATGCTCCTGCCTGGCTGAGAGGTGGCAAACCTGCAGCCATTGTGCTTGATTTTGTGCTTGTGGTTTGGGGACCGGATTTATTTGACTGTAGACTTAACCAAGTTATTGTCTTTAGCCAAGCATTTTTATGTCCCAAAAGGCTGAGGCATGAAGAGCCCTTTGAATTTAGATAAACAATCAGACTTACCTTTTATGGATAAATGAGGGAACAAGAGATTGCTGGATAGCTGTGGACTTAGGTTATAGGGCACCGAGGCTTAGCTGTCAGAAGAGGTGGTGGTAAGAAAGTTTCAGTATTTTAAAAACTTTGTGTACTACTACTTACAGAAAGTCAGTACCTCCAACATGAATACAGCTGACCAAGGATGTCAGTAGAGTTTGAAGGATGGACTTAATCTCCTATTTCTGTCTTCAGATCTGACCAAAGTCAACGCCTTCTAAACAGTGGGTCTATTTCCTTAGAATCACTCTTTCTTTTAAAAGCCCAAAACATCCACTTACATCTGTCTTTTTGTAAGTACTAGGTATATGTTGTTTTCATACTGTAAGAGGGGAAATATATATATTTAACTGGAAAGTTTTGTCCTATCAGATATGTGCTTCAAATAGATGTATTTAATTGGAAGTAATATGCTATGATGAAAAATGTACTTCTGTGAGGTTACGAGAAGTTTACAGGTGCTCTATCAACAAAGATCCCCTTCTGAGACTATGCATAATGAGACTGAACTCTGGTGAAGTAGTTACTTCCAACTGACACTGCAAAGCTAACTTAAACAAAAAATACATTGCTTTGCTGTTTCAGAATGTAGCTATCAATGACATTGCCAAGCCTCATGTTCTATGCTTTTAAGTATGTTCATGATAAAGATGGGGTGCATAGGAAGAGAATTCAAGAAACACTCCAGCAAATCAGTAGAAACTACAGTTATTCAAAAACCTTAATGATCACCTCCTGAGCTATTGTATTAGCACAACTATTTTGTATTCCATTTTTAGAAAGTTATTCTGACTTGAGTCTGTGTAAAATACTTGGTGGTTATTTGAACAATAGATTAAATGTGAGAAGCTACATTCTGCTTTTTGGTCTGTGTTAAAAACAGAAGCAGCATTGAAGGTATTCTGGGTAGCACAGTGATAAAACTATGTTCGAAGCCTTTCAGTTCAGTGTCTTGTTGACAGGCCTTTAGGACTGTGGTTGGATGAAGTGCACTTTAAAGTGATCTTCTTTCTGTCAGTGAACAGTCAGTTTGGGTTTATGTATGCCTGTGTATATACACACACATTATATCTATATATAGATATAGATAAAATAAGATAAAATATACGTTTGTGTGTGTATGTATATAAATTAAAGATCTAAGCAAAAATGTGGTGCATTCTCTGGATGTGTAACCTTGAAATCTGAATGAATCCCTTGCTCTGTATCTCCAGCTGAGTATCCAGTGCTACTCAGTAGAGTAGCAACAGCTACTTTATTTCCACTTTTGCAACTGTCTCTTGGTCAATGTATATAAAAGACTCAGTGATGGCTGTTGACTGATTAACTTCTTTTTAGTAAAGACGATGAAGGCAGTACAACTAAGACCTGATGCTGGTGGATTAAATGCCTCAGTTTAAATTTCAGGTGTTACAAAAAGATGAAACCAAAATACTTATCTCCCTCATAGCAAAAGAGGACAATATTCTACAAAAGAGAAGCCTAGAGAAGCACAGGAAGGACCAGGCAGGTGAGGAGACTCCAAGAGGACTCCTGAGTCCTCTTGTTCAAGTTGTAGCCGGGAATGAACAGGTGTGGTCTTGGTACTCCATGCTCTTGAATACTTCTATCCTTGTAAAAGTATATAAACAAATAAATGAATGAAGCTGTAGAACCTGGATCTCTTCTGAAGACTGTACAGCCTGGTTCCAGAGGGACCTAGGGTTTCTCTGACACAGGCTAGACCCTATTATCTTCTCTCCACAGACATCCAGGTGTTCTTGTTCTCTTGTGGGCACCACAGCTCCCTTCCTCTGTGTTGCTGTTGTCTTGCCCCATGTGCAGCTGTTGTGAGAAGACACACAGTGGAATTTCTTTAGCCTTTAGAAACCACAGTAGGGGATACCCTTGTGAACAATGATGAATTATAGTTGAGGAGATAGAGGAAAATAAATGCATATTGTCCATAAATATTTTAAGAAGTACAGTAGGAGGATTGCTCAGGGTTCCTTGAAATTTTCTTTATCTGTTATTTGTCAGTATATCCTTAGCAGATAGTAGATAGGTTACAGGTAATTGAAAAGAAAAAGTTATCAAAATATATTGGGAGCAGTTCTGTGGCAGCTGGAGGAAGAGGGGGCT